GGGGGGGGGGGAGGTCGTTCGAAGTTATTTTGAAGGTGTTGAAGGTACCGCGATATAAGAAGAAAGACGGATATGTCAGCTTCACAACAAAGTACGGACCAAGTACGAGGGAAGTATGCCAGTCAGCCACCCAGCCAGCCAGCCACCCAGAGTGTTTCAGAGTCAACCAGCCCACGTAATATAAAGAGATATGTGCCTTGGAATAACATTACCATTAGGAGATATAGTTTAGCGGAGGCCCCAGATGAAATGAGATACTGTGGCTGAATCATGCATGAGCGAAGGTGCGATTCGCTATCTTGACTTCCTGGCTATCAACGCCCAGAAGATACCTCCTCAACCCCTTGACCTCCGCCGTCTAAGGGTACCACGAGAAAAGTGAATATGCGTACAATATTCACACAGTCACTGATGTAGCTGCGGTGACACTTTATTAAACGCGTTATTTGCATCGTTTGGTACCTTCTTCTAGAGCACCCCCTATTACCTCCACCACCCTTGGCCATTATACTACATCATTCGGCATAGGGGTAGCGACCCCCGCTGATTAAAAACTTACTGGATCCTTCTAGAACGTCTGAGGTACTCCTCAGAATTGGCCTACTTTCGTTCTTATATTGTGTATATATTTTCTTAACATACCTCCTGATCTCCTTAAACCACCCCAGCTGCTTCCCTGGCTGAGGTCTGTTCACTACTTTAGTATCTCCAGCATTGCCAACGACGGGGGACTACCGGTCCACTGCTTATATCGTGCACACACATTATGCTAATTTGTCTTTTAATCTCGCGCCATGCGTCCACAACTGCGGGACCACTTTTTGTCGCGTAAGATTCATGTCTCCTCGCCCGCAAGTCGAGGTACTACGCGCGGTATCTACTTCAAAAGGACACCCACCGATAAAAAGGGTACCCGGTGCAAGCCAAGTTGCCCGTGCAGCTGGTGAGAGTGAAGGAGGACACAGAAGAAAAATAAAACAAAGAAATAAAAGAAGAAATTATCTGTAGGTCAGGTAGCAAAGAGAGAAATCTTGAAGGGGAGTGATAAGAGGGCAAATATAGATACCAGGTACCTGTCTCTTCCTACTGGAGAACATTTCCTCCAACTCTCGGGACGTTCCCGGTAAAGCTCATACAGCTTGCAGTAAGAAATCCGCATAGAAAAAAGGGGGTAGCACCGCAAGTAGGTACAGGGGTGGAAACACTTATGCATTTATGCATTCATATTTCTGTGGTCTCCACCTCCCCTAAGTCGGCGTAAGAAGTCGACGTGGTTCCCCGTACACGTTGCGGTGCCGTTGTCGAGTCTCGGCACCAGTACCACTACCAATGCCAGTACCCGGTACCAGCAACCAAGACTGGCGTGCACAGGGTCTTGGAGGCAAAAGCAGCGCTGCAAGTAGGGAGGATCCGAAGGGAGGGCAAAGTTGCTCCGGAATAATAATATACGCCGGCGTTCGCTCGCTCGCTCCGTCGGAAAAAATCTGAATATATGAAATGTAATGACGAGCCAAGAGAGGGAAGCGACGAAGGAGAGTGGGAAGTAGCAAGAAGAGAATAACAAAGGACAGAATAACCGTTCTCCTCATGGTGACGCTCAGAGGACTTCCGGGGGGGAAGGACGACGGCGCATGCGGTCTCGCTACTTCTTTAAACATCCACCAGGACGCATCATAGACTTCGGTATTAATCATATCCATGAAGGTCATTAATAACCCTGTAACCTAACCCTTTTTGCTCCATCCCAAAATCATTCCCAGGACCCATCTGGTCTCGGATTATAATTCCACCCAGTACCATGAAACAAAGCTAATGAAATGGTCTAGAAAGTCTAGTATGCGTAAGGAATAAAGAATAAAATTGCGTGAATTTTCTGAGAAACTGAGTAAGCAAGTAAGCAAGCAAGGAAGGAAGGAAGGAAGAAAGGAAGGGCGCTGGAGTCAGGACGTGGCCTGGGCCGGGGCTCCGCCTATCACCGTGCCGCCTCACGGTGGTGAATACATTTAGCCTGGTTAGTTTACAAATGAATACAGCGATTGAAGCAACTTATAATATCAATGTACTCGGTGCTCTCTCTTACTCGACGGGTTTCGCCCTTCAGGGTATCTTGGTTCCACCCACTCGCGGGGCTCCATACAGAATGGCCATATTAACTTGATAATTAGCTCGGTTATACGACTTGCAGATGAGGAAAGACTTGGGACGGACGTCGGCTACCCCTACCAGGGTGGTGCCAGTGTTCCTTGCTCTGCTCTCCTATGCTATGCTCGGCTCAGCTCTGCTCCGTTGGTTGGATGGATATAGAACCCTTAGTTCGTATTCCTCTCCCTGTCTGCCAGGAACCCCTGCCTTGTGCTTGCCTGCTTCACTGCTTTGTTACGTTGCCTGCCTGTGTACTTGTTTGGTTCCTTGTTCGATCAGTTGCTACGTATATGGTGAACTACGTCATTGGTTCTTCTTGGCTCTGGTATCCCTCAGTGCTGCTTCCTTGAGGTGTACGTATCTTGGAACCGGATATCATTATTTTATGGTTCGTGTAGAATTCTCGGGAACCTCGTGATAACGTCGCGACGGGGATGTCTTGTGTACGTCAACAGGTTCGCCAACTGTGAGACTTTGTACTGTGAGGAAACACGTGGTCGGGGTACCACGTGCGCCACCACGCCGGAAACCACGTGGTCCCCGTTCTCCAATGGACCGGACTTCTCTTACCCCTTCTACGTTCTACCGTTATCTATGGTAGTTCATTCGATATTTCGTCTACGTGCAAGTTTTATTGGACTTCTTATCATTCAGAAGGTGCTTCATTTTTTGGTGCATTTTTTTGGACTTCGAGAATTTATGTGTCTGAGGTGTTTTTTTTTTATTATTAACCATCGATGACGGTCATATAATGGAAATACACGGTATAACGAATAACTTGAAAATGTTGCTCGCACGTTGCGAAGAGTTCCGAAGATTTTCAATGGAAAACAAATAAATGAATGAAGAATGTCATAATGCCAACAATGTGAAAGATAAATGTCAGATGCGTAATGAGTGTCCGAGAAATCAGGTGAAAGAAGAGAGAAGGTGAAACAGATCGAAAGTGTATCTAGATGGCGCTTAGGGATCACAAAATGGCCGCAGCAAGGATGGAAATAATGGCGAGTACACTCAGCCTACGCCATCGTGTCCTCATGTCCTCAAAGAGATTGTGAAGGCCTTTCGTGTACGCGACAAGGAATACAAAGTACATCGTAGGCGCATTCCAAGAGATGACTGGCATTGAAATCTGCCTTCGAGAGTGCCGCACCCGCCTGCCTCTCGTCTATGACCTGAATACAGAAGATGGCCGCCATATTAGGTTCCCCTCTTCGTCGTTCCCCCGCTACCAACCGCTTCACTTCTTCGCTTCTTCGTCTCTCTTTATCTTCTCGTTCTCCAATGGCTCCGAGGATCGCTTCTTCGGAAATTGTGCCTTTTCTGTGCTACCAAAACATAACATACCAAGTTGTAACAAAATATCTGCAGACCCTGAACCATCCAGAGCAACACTAGGACTAAGGGATGCTAACAAAAAAAAATTAATTTAAGGGTGGCGATTTTAGAACGACATTAACACAATTATACAAAATTTCGAACACCTGTGATTGGTTTTCAAGACAAAATGGACACTTTACTACGTATTTACGTGTCTGTCCTCATTTTCCTGCCTACGTAAGTTCACGTCTATAACTCTGACATTGTCGACTACGTTATTCCTTTTAATACGATATTTCATTTAGTTTTCCTTAGATTCTCTACCAATTTCTTATTTTCCTCGAAAAGAAACATGAGAACCCGGTACACAAGGAGCGGTGCTTGTATGCTCTGTGTATGCACACGGTACGCAGTTCACCACAAAGTGCCATCACGTACGCAGTTTAAGGGTTTATTTATAAAAACTAAAAATATAACAACGTCATACACCGCCATTATTTTCCACGATTATTCTCGTAAAATCCAAACGTAAGAAAAATTCTTAATATATTTTTTAACTTGTCAATTTTTTTAGCCATCTGTCCTGAATCTAACATCTTTTTTTGTCTGTGACATTAAAATCTTCCTCTACTCCACGTGCACTAGAAAACACATCCGGACGTGCATTGGGTATCATAGGAATACTCGAACGGAACACGTGTGCCTATAAGCAAGCAGTAGATTGAAACACATGCCTGTAAATAAATTTCTCCTAGCAAATAGAAACGCCTGAAAACTGGACACAAGCTAGAATACATACTTATATACAGAAAGACTAGTAGAAATATGTTATATAGTCAGTATATAATATAATGAAAAAAAAAGAGGGGCAAGCACCTGTCTTTACGGTGTGGGTGATAGAAGCTAGGGGCGATGAAAGTAATGTATGCACCCCTGACTACACAAAGAAAAGTCAGACCGGGAGCCACCTGAACTGCAGGTCTGGGCCAGGGTCTCATTTGGGACCGGCTGTGATCTTCATATTTGTTATATAACCGTATAATAACGAATTAATGTACCTAATCACTTGAGTTCATTTAATCCGCAAATAATGGTCGATCAAAATTTTTTTTATTTTATAGCAAACGTTCATATAAAATTTAGAAAAATTAAGATAATCGACCCCTTAAAAATGCCTGCCGAAATTGTATCGCGATTCTCTAGTGGAAATGACCCGCCATGCACAGCCACTCGACCCGAGTCCCACTAACTGCCGCAAGTCAGGCTAAAACGTAGTTATTACGGGCTGTGCCGTGATTATTTTCATTATGAGACGTTGCGATTCTTATCTGCCGCTTCCCACTGTGGAACCGGGGCTTAGATTTCATGTTTTTTCTTAATGATTCGAGCAATTAGCTACGCTGAGTGCCCTGACTTCTCGTTTCTTACCTCAAGTAACTAGAATAGCTCGTATTTGTAGCGACGCTACCGATTTGCGGGATACATGACTGTATATATATATTTATTTTAATAATGAATTTTTGCGTAAACTTTTTTTATTAAATTTTTAATTAATTCATAACAGACTGACCACGGTTTCTTTTGCCTTAAAGATAACGACTCCCGATATTTATTTTACTGCACGGGAGCCCGATAGTAAAAATCAGGTTTGACGCGTCGGGATCCTTCAGCGACGGTGGACGTGCCGAAAGCGCGTAGCAGCGTCGCGGCGCACTCGTGTATTGTTATGTTAACGCCCCCAGAAGTAACAATCGGAACGAGCACAATGGCGGATTCGTGGGTTGGAGGTGGGGAAGCGATGGGGAACGAGGAAGCGAGGAGACGCGAGGAAAAAAAAAGACCTTATCGCATTATCGTATTGCGGCGCCTCCTAGTCCGGACTTATGTACGACGCCTCGCGACGCTCTTACGTAAATTTTTCAAAAGGTCGGAGAAACTTGGATTCCATAAAATCTCTCTCTTCCCGCGCTACCTATACATTGCACTTATGCACAACTCTACAAACACAATGCTTATCGAAATCCATCTTGACGTTTTGAAAAATTAATTAAACTTACAAATCCCATCTAGAGTGTATTAGATTTTTCAAGTTTTATAGCCTTTGATAAATTATAGAATTTTTCAAAATCATTATTACTGACAATCTTTACAATGTAGTCCGTTATCTTCATTGGATTTAACAAATTTTCATTTTATACTCTTATCATTAGATGCGAGTAGCACTGATATTAACTGTGAAAGACATTACAGCGCTGCATCCTAACGGTAAGCATAAGGGTTGTTACCTAGAGAAAGGGGATGCTCGAGGTTTTGGCTGTAGAAACGACCGAACGTTTCCTCTGATATATATACATATATACTATACATATATACACATAGGAAGTAGGTACAGGGTATAGTCCAACCCCCATGCCAACGGGCGGCCATGGGTGGGTGGTGAATATGCAAATGTAATTGATATTACTTTTTAAATATTCCCCACTCTACAGCCGCGACCACCCGTCTGTTGTTCGCTCGCCTGCAGCAGAGGGTGCGCCTGCTTTATACACTCTTATTCTAAGTGCCTTTTACCTCCCTTCACAGCCACCCCACATCAGTAAAGGTAATTAATAGGCTTGCCGAGACCTACGCTAAGATCTCGCCGGATAACCGGCTGGAACTGTTACAAGTGGCCCGTAACGAAATAACCGTGTCCCCAACTTCCTAGGACCTTTACTTTTCTTATTTCTCTCACCATAAGCACAAGGCTCGCACACAGTCCCGTACAGTGGGAAACTTAATAGACCATAAGTATTTGTAAAAAATATATATATTTGCATGCTGACCGGATATTATAAATTTTCCTATGTTAAACTCCATGACAAGAAATACGAGCAGAACACCGTCATTTGCGCACAAGTAGAATTCTTAGAGCATCTAAACACCCGTATTCCTCGTTCACACCTGTCTATTAGATAAGTACCAGCGTCCGTGTACTATCTGAAAAAGAACTTAGAAAAAGTAAATAAATATTTACCTACGTTAAACGTTCCCGTCTATTATCTAATTTTTCTTATACTTGCAAAAGTTAGCTGCTCCCCATAAAGACGTAATAAACTAAAAGAAAATATAAAACGCAATGCCGGTAGTATTAACTGCTGGTACTTACATTGTTGCATCGCATGACTTCCTCTTTATATGTTGTCTTCCTCGATTCTCCCATCAACCTGGGCTTACAATCCTTACAAAAAAAAAGTTAACAAGATGCCAGTCTAGGCACTGTGCGTACACTCAATGTGTATATTTTTCAAATTTCTCCACTACAGGGCTCTATATAGACAATTTCCAGACCTTTCTATCGCCACATACTTTCTCCTTCGTGCTTAGTTTCAACCGCTCTCTCTCTAACCCTGTACCACCTGTAACCTCTTAGTGCCTTCTTTCTTCGCCTTCTGTTTCGACTGTTCCTTTCAAAAACTGACCAGCCTCAAGTAAATAGTCATCCAGAACCAGCCCATGTGACTAAACCAATATTGAACCATAATTTCTTGTGAATATTCATGCAGCTTATCACTTGTACCATATAGCCACAAATAAAGAAATATCAGAGAAAAATAAGTCTGCAACATTGTACTTATATATATATATATATATATATCTACACATATGCTATATAGACAGATGGTGCCCATAGCAATAGCGAATTCAGTAAAACTGGCATAGGATTAGGAAACACCCATAGAAAGCACCATGGCACAAGTATAGACGATTGAGACAAGCAAGCTGAACTTTACCTCGTAACTTTCTCATGGTGACCACCGAGGATATTTCAGTATACCGAGACACTTAAAGGAGCAGAGAAAAACACCATAGAAGAGATAGCAAAGAACGGCGAAGACATTAATTTAGCATCGGCTCGCGTCGGCTTGAATTCCGACGCTCGCCGGCCAAATCGGGCAGTGGCGGCGCAGCAGTAGCCGTCGGTATATAAAGTAATGGTTCACGGGGTGCTGGATACGCGGGGCCCCATAGGGCCCCTCTCGGTACTCGTTTTAGCCACGATAAATCTTACGGGCATTATACGCATTGCGTTAGGGGCGGCTGTGATGGGGGGCTTAAAGTTACGTGAATCGCCGATTCGCGTAAGCGTGGGCGCCGCCGACGGTAAATACGACGTTAAATAATTCGACGTCGCTTGGGATATCTCGCCACTCTACACGGTGCAAGAAGAAGGATTTAAGAGGACGCCAATGAAGACGCTAATGAATGGGAGGGTATTCCAAGTATGGCGTCTAAGACGTACTGATGTCTGCCGCGTTCTTTGAATTATTATTATAGGTACTCTCGCTACTTCCACATATATATATATATATATATATGCACTGCCTGAATAGTCAGGTTAGGTTAGACGTCTCTAACAGGATATCACTGTAACTACCATGTCCTTCCTATTCGCTATTCCTGAACCGACTATCTTTCCTAGATCCTGGATCCATATCTACCCTTCAGGATCTCTGTTAAGATACCCCCAACTATAGTATCTGGTTAGACTGGATAAGGAGATCAGACGTTTAATTTTTTCCTCTCCTTTTTTCTATCTCTTCCTGGTTACCTCAGACACTCCGTACACTCTTTATACTCGATACGACACTATACGCAATAAGATATATGGTAATGAGTTTCTGTGAATAATTGGGTATACGTGGACATATACACAAGCAATGCCGTTACCTGACTACCTACTAGCTTACCTGATCGGGTAATAAAATTCTTACTGCATTTACCTACCGGTAACCAGTTATTTAATAAATTATCAATTATTATATTATGTTAGATATCAGATTATTCACATGTACCCTAATGCGATAGTGATACCCGCATTATGCCCATACGTAAAATTATACTCCTTTATTCTTTCCTCGAATATCATTCATAATGCGATACATCCGTATTAAAAATTCATATACATAATTTATATGAGGTTATATGAATCCCATTAAATCACGATAGACCCAAGGCAAAAATTCCCGTTTTTACCTAGAAAATCTCAAAAGTTTATTACAAGGGTAGCGAACTATTCGCGTGCATTGTCCTTACGCGTGGGTACCTACACGACAAGTATATACACATGTGCATATATGAAAAGAGAGAATAAAAATAATATTACGCAGGATTCTTCTCGTTTCACACAGTGACTAGTAGAAATTATTAGTGTATATATATTATAGTGCACAAGGTATACCTGAGCTTATATACTG